AAAGCTAACAGAAAATTACAGATGGAGCAATGCAGGCGAAAGGCTAAAATGGAGGTGAGAAATGGAAGACATGGGAAAACGGTGGGATAAGAGCACATTCCGGCTTCACAGCCAGGCAATGGAAAAGAAAGAGCAGGGAATTAGTAAAAAATCAATGGGGAAGAGAGTAGTTTCATTTGCAAGAATGACTCGAGAAAGTTTAGGGTATTTGGTGGGATTAGAAAAGTGCTGCAGCAGGTGGGCAAGTGTGTGGGTGCCTGGGTAGGTTGGGGTGAAGAAGGGGTTGAGATTATGACCTTAAAAATAAATAAAGAAATAAATAAAATATAAAAAATAAAAAGAAAAGAGGCTTGTTCACATAAAGGGGGATGGGGGATAAAAAAAATTAAGGCCTTGATTTATTTTCTATCACCAAGTTTCCTCAATTACTTAGGCCTAATGGTCACTGAATTGAGGAAACTCAAATATTCATGCAGATCTGTTTAATATTGAATGGTGAATATAAATAGAAATATATGTATCTCAACTTTCTATTACATTGTCACCAAAATTGTGCTTGTATAAATATTCATTTACAAGTTAATCATATAAGAATGAGGATAATAATGCATCAGTATAAAAAAATCATCATCCCAGATATGCATGCAACATGTGCGCTAGTGTGGCTGAATCGACAAGTATGAATCTCACACGGACAAATAGCACGGCAACGCTCATGAGAGACTACGGATTTATTTGAAATTAAAAATTTCACACTTCAAAATTTTCACATTACACGCTTGAAAGTATTAAGGTATTTACGCACTTTTTTTTCCCTTACCTTCTTATAAATGATGATGGAAATGTTAAAAAATTACCAGATATGAGAAGTGGAGCCGCCAAGCTATGTATTGAATGTCTCTTAATTTGGGCTGCATAGTTGCTTGTGCCAGAGTTAGGGTAACATGGTAAAAAATAAATACGGGAAATGGAAAATTTGAGTACAGTATTGGTTCAAAATAATTTATTTAAGAGTGATGATGATAATATTGAGGTTGATTATCACCTCTTAACATAAATTTCTGTAATGGTCTAATTTCTGAACAAGTAGGATTGGTTCCTACATATGAAACCAATGGTCTAAGAATTAACTTCCAGGAGAAAAGACTCCAAAATCAACAACTTCAGAAAGATTTATTCTCTGAATTTCAAATCACAATATACATGGCTATGATGTCCAAAGCATGTAAATATTATCAAGAGTATATAAGGATCATGCGTCACTTAGCGAATCCCCACAGGTCCTTATTATCTAATCACCACACTTTCATCATCTACTCCAAGCTCAGACCTAAGCTCTGGCGTGTAGAATCACAATAACAAGCTTGGTTAGGCCTAGTGGACATTTTCACATGTGCTTCTCATTTAGATATGGCTTAAATGGATATACTTTGTAGTCACAACTAACTATTCAATTATCAACAAGACAAATATCCACACCATGAAAATGGCATATTTCTATGTAAATATGTGGAATCACTAACACTTTTTAGAGATGAACCATTGATACTGAAAATATCAAAATATTAAGACAAGAAACACTATAAAGTACTCAATTGAGAAATGGAAACAATAGTAAGCAATGCAGTAAATCTAGGTCAAAATTTCCCATTAGAATCAAACTAATACGGTCAAATGATAATAAAATAAATAAAGGATAAAAAGACGCATAAACAATCAGCTACCTGTCGGCACCACCAAAAAACCCAATCTACAATCTGAGGGAGTAAAAATAAGAAAGGTAGAGCAAGAAAGTACAGAAAGGGCAAGTTAGACTGATGCAACACCAATGGGATAATTAATAGAAACAGAAGAAGATTCAGAAAGAATGGGAGATTAAGGGAGGGGAAAGAAGAAAAATTCAATAGGAGAGGGAGAAAGATGCGCCATAAGCCACCAAATAATTATTGTTCATTCAGCAACTGAAAATTATAATGTAAAATAGGTTTAAATAGTTAAGCAACCCTAACAAGCTTGGGCCCGAGCCCATACAAGTCCAAATCCTAAATAATAGTCCAAAAGATAAATAAAGCATAAATGAAGCGTAAATAAATTAAGTAACGTTCGATGTCCTCATCAACTCTCCCGACGTGGGAGAAAACTCGACCTTGTCGAGTGGATCACTTTAGGCTGTCATCAATCTCCCAACCATAAGCTGAGTGGTTGGGCAAGTTTCTTCCGACGTCTGTAAAAATGTGTTAATGGAGGTTTGAACCTGGTGTCCTCACCAACTCCCCTCGGGTGGACGGGAGGCGATCTGGACCAAGGAAGATCCTGCTGACTCTGATAAAACTCCAATAAATCTGGATCCAATTGCTGTAGTGTCTCCCTGGAGATCCATGCACAGTCATAATCTGGTTGACCAACCCAACGAACAAGGAAACGCTGAACCTCTCCATCATTAGTGAACACAGTTTCTTCATCTAAAATAGCATCAATTTTTTCTTTGTGTGCTGTGAGAAGTGGTAGTGAGATAGAAGGGGCCAGAGAATCAGGATCAAGGTCCACAAAAGGAGGTGACAGAGGATCATCTGAGGGAATGAAATGTCCTTTATAAGCTACAAGGTCCTCAACATTGAAAGTAGAGTGGTAACAAAGGTGTGATGAAATGTCAACAATATAGGCATTTGGACCAACCTGCTTTAAAATTTTAAAAGGATCAGCACTACGCGCTTTCAATTTAGAGGCAGGTCCATGCAGACGCCGCTCTGGCCTAATGCGAACCATAACGTAATCCCCAATGTTAAACTCAATATGTCGTTCGTGTAAATCAGCTTGGAGTTTATATTTTGCATTACTAGCTTCAAGTTGTTTATTTATCTCAATATGCAAGTCACGAAGATGTTGTGCAAATGCTTCAGCTGATACTGACACTCTAGCCTGTGGGGACATAGGGGTGAGATCTAATGGTTTTCTACGCTTGTACCCATGAACGGCTTCAAATGGACTCATACTTAATGAACGATTTATGGAGATATTATACGCAATTTGAGCTACAGGAAGGATCAAATCCCAATTTTGAAGGTTTTCCCGGACCGGACAACGTAATATGTTACCAAGACTTCGATTAACTATTTCAGTTTGACCGTCAGTCTGACGGTGGTAGGCCGTAGAAAATTTCAATTTGGTACCCATCTTATACCACAAAGTTCTCCAAAAATGGCTAGTGAAACGAACGTCCTTATCAGACACGATGGTCTTTGGAAGCTCATACAATTTGACAATTTCATTAAAGAATAACATGGCAACCTTGGACGCATCCGACGTCTTGCTACAGGGGATAAAATGAGCCATCTTTGAGAAGCGATCGACAACCACAAAAATAGAATCATGCTTCTTTGGAGTGCGTGGAAGTCCTAACACAAAATCCATACTATCATCTTGCCAAGGACAATTAGGGACAGGGAGAAGGGGTGTATAGACCTGTGTTCTGCTTTTTCTGCTTACCCAATTGACAAATGTTACAAGCACTAACAATCTTAGCCACGTCTTTCTTTAAGCTAGGCCAATAGAATTGACGTTCAACTTCCTCTATGGTCTTATCACGTCCAAAATGATCGGCAATCCCTCCTGCATGAATTTCCCACACGATGAAATCTCGCACGGAAGTTCAAGGGATGCACAATTTATTGGCTCGAAAGAGATAACCCTCCTCAAGTCAGAAGCCATCTGTGACGCCTGATTGTCCCCTTTGTAAATCAAGAAAGATATCCTTAAAATCAGGACATGCCTCGTAATCCTCCTTAAGTCTTTCAAAACCAATGACCTTGACACTCATGATCGACAAAAGGGAGACCCGACGACTTAATGCATCAGCTGCTTGGTTCTCTATACCCTTCTTGTGTTTCAAAACAAATGAGTAGGCCTGCAAATATTCGACCCAACGACCATGCCTAGAACTTAATCTTTTTTGGGAGTTGAGGTAACGGAGGGCCTCGTGATCCGAATAAAGGACAAATTCCTGGGGTAACAAATAGTGGCGCCAATAGCGCAAAGCCTGGACCACTGCATACAGTTCCTTATCATAAGTTGAGTACCGCTGTTTGGCTTCATTTAACTTCTCACTGAAGTAGGCAACACGGTGACGATCCTGACTTAAGACTCCGCCTATACCTACCCCGGAGGCGTCACATTCAACTTCAAAGACTTTGGAAAAATCGGGAAGACGCATGACAGGGGCCTCCGTCATTCGCTTCTTAACTAACTTAAAGGCCTTAACCGCCTCTTGTGTCCAATGAAACTCCCCTTTCTTCAAGCACTCCGTAATAGGCGCCATAAGAGTGCTAAACCCCTTAATAAAGCAACGGTAAAATGTAGCTAAGCCATGAAAGCTCCTGACGTCATGAATAGCTTTAGGCTCAGGCCAGTCAATAATCATCTGAGCCTTAGCAGGGTCAGCAGATACTCTTGTCGAAGAGACAATGAACCCTAGAAAAACGACTGTGTCGATGAAGAAAGAGCACTTCTTGACGTTAGCATATAGATTAGTTGCGCAAAGGGTGGAGCAAATTTGTGTGAGGTGGTCAAGGTGTTGCTCCTTAGTCTTACTATAGATAAAGATATCATCAAAGTAGACAACAAGAAACTTTCCCATGAAAGGTCGGAGAGTTTGTGTCATTACTCGCATGAAGGTACTTGGCGCATTACTCAGCCCAAAAGGCATGACCAGCCATTCATAAAGATCATCTTTCGTCTTAAACGCGGTCTTCCACTCATCACCTGGGCGAATTCGAATATGATGGTATCCACTCTTCAGATCAATCTTCGAAAAGATTGTGGCACCAACCATCATATCTAACAAATCGTCAAGTCTAGGAATGGAAAAACGATACTTCACCGTGATCCGATTGATCACGCGACTATCCACACACATCCTCCAAGAACCATCCTTTTTGGGCGTCAATAGGGCAGGGACAGCACACGGGCTTAAACTCTCACGAATGAATCCTTTGTGAAGAAGGTCATCCACTTGCCTTTAATTCAGCGTGCTCGGTAGGATTCATCCTATAATGAGGCAAATTTGGGAGGGATGCCCCTGGGACGAAATCTATGGCATGTTGAATATCTCGTAGTGGAGGTAGATGGTCAGGTAGGTCCTCCGGAAAGACGTCTCGAAACTCTTGGAGGGCCGACAAGACTTCAACAGGGCTCTCTATTGTGGAGTAGGATGGAACCTCCACGACCACCAAAGCGAACATAACTGAGTCACCAACAAGTGTACGCTCAAACTCCGTAGGACTAATGATGTGCAATCCCTTTCGTTCCACACTTTTCTTCATTTCCAGTGGGCCAGCAGGCTTTGGGGGCAGTGGGTTAAGGTGAATCTTCTTTCCATTAAACACGAAGGAACAGGAATTGGATCGACCATAGATGGTTACATCTAGGTCAAATAACCAAGGTCGTCCCAAGATGATGTGCCCGACGTCCATTGAAATAACGTCACACCATATATGGTCCTTATACTCGAGAAACTGTATAAGGACTAAACAACGCTCCTTGACAGCGATGGATGAGGTATCAACCTAAGAGACGCTGTAGGGCTGAGGGTGAGGAACAGACTTCAACCCTAGACGGGATAGAGTAGCCATCGAAACCGCATTAATGCAGCTACCACTATCCACGATAACTTTACAGCCCTTATTATTAATCTTGATGTAAGTGTGGAAGATGGCATGACGGCGCCAATCATCGGCATCCCTAGGCTGGGTAAGAGTACAACGGACGACACCGACTCTAGGCGTATGTGGGATAAGGGGACTAGCCTGAATACAACCCAAGAAGGTATCTTCACTATCCTCCAAGTCATCAAACTCTTATAACTTAGACTTATAAACCTGATCCTCTAGTGGCTCGTCAACTATACCTTCACGCTCTTCCAAAACTAGAGCTCGGCTAGGACACTTAGAAGCAATGTGACCAAAACCCTTACAGTTGAAGCATTGCAGACGAGAGGACGTTCTTGAAACCTCAGATCCTCTACCTTTACTATCTGATGTAGGGGTAGTATTAGAAGGAGGAGGTCCTAGAATAGACTTAGGGAATGGAGTGGATGCAGAAGAGGTTACAGTGCGGGAATCACTACGACTTCTGTACGGTGTCCTAGTCACTAACTCGTAATCCCTAACGAAAGAGTAGGCGTTGTCAAGAGTGGTGACACCTCTAAGAACAAGCTCACGTCTAAGGTCATCCCGTAGGCCTTGTCTAAACCTACTCAAGGTCATGACTTCATCCTCAACAACCTGACATCTCATTCGAAGCTCGTCAAACTAAGCAACATATTCGGTCACAAGTCGACTGCCTTGCGTAAGTGCGTTCCATTGATCCAGCAAGTCGCCCCTATAAGATTGAGGTAAATATTTTTCTTCAAAACAACGCTGCATTTCATCCCAATTCCCAACAGGGGGAGCATGGCGCCTCTCTAGGAGGTCCTCAACACTTTCTCAAAACAGTTGAGCTGTGCTAGTTAATTTCAAACTAGCAAATTGTACCCTCCGATCTTCAGGGACCCCATACCAGATAAAGAAGCGATCCATATCTCTAACCCATTGATTGAATACACTAGGATCTAGGCAACCATCAAATGTAGGGGCATCTAACTTAATATTTCGAAAGAGGCGCTTCTCGTGGCGAGGGGGAGATAGTGTACCATGACGGTGATATTCCCGCTCGCACCCACGAGCTTGATTTCCCTCCCTACAATCATGTCTAGCATGGTGTCAACCACCTTGTGGACGACGATGAGGTCTATTAATGGAACCGTCAGAATTTTCAGCTTTAGTTGAGTATCGGGTTGGGTCAAGAATGTTTACCCTAGCGGTTAGGCCTCTATTCTCCTCACGAGTAGCGGCTAACTCAATTTGGACAGCCGTTAATTGATTTTGTAATTGTGCCAACTGTCGGGTGATAGCTTCAATGTGGGAAGGGTCCATGGTAAGGGTACCAGGGTTGACGCAGTAACTCGACCACTACGCAATTGCATACACAGTAACACAAGTTAAGTGAAGTGCACTACTGAGATCAACAACCAACGAGTGCCAACAAGGACAATAGTGACTGAAATTTATCTATTGTTATTATTATTATTTTATTTTATTTTAGGGATTACGTATGGCCCGATCGCAAGCTAATAATACTAATACCAATAATATAAAAGAGCAAAGGTGCAAGTGATAGGCCTAGTCACGTGGGGTAAACGGGTGAACAATGAGAGTTAGTTCACGAATTCCAATCAAGTAGGTGTAAGGCTCAAATTACCAAGGTATTAGCAACACAAAGAAATAACTGATGCATTTCTAAATAAAGCAGTAGTGTAAACAAAAAATAGATAAGAGCAGTGACTCCCTGAGTTCGGTTGTGACTCCTTGTACTCCAATTGATTAGAATTTGCCAACTCTGTGACCCTGCTCTATCATCTTGTTTCAGTAGTCTTTCTTGCAGAACCCGCTCCTGCTGATTATCATTGATACTGTTTTGACTATGGCTCTGTCGTGGTAGGGGGGGTACAAATATGAATCAATTACTCATTTAATTGTATCGAACCTCTGGAGAACCGTTTTGAATAGCTGCTTGAAACTGATAGTGGGGACTGTGGGTTATTCTTGAGTAATGAAGGGTGAGTGATGAAGTGGCTGTGGCTACTTCGTGTGCAGCGATGGTGGATTGGTGAATATGGTGTGTAAGTGGCGCGATTGAAGTGCAGTAGAGATAGTGGTGTGATTTGGTGGCTGCAGCGATGAAAACGGAAACGTTGGGGACTGTAACTGTGGCGGCAATAGGCGGTTAAGGCGGTTGCTTAGGCTGTGTGTGTGGATAGTGGTGTGGAAGAGAATGTGTAGGGCGCCGACGGTGGTGACTTGAGGCTGAAGAGAAAAGTAGTGGCAAAGCAGGAGAAGGAGGAGCTTACCAGAAAGGGAGACACAGAGAAAGCAGAGAGGAAGACGACCGACAGCGAGGAGTGGAGGGTGAGTGTCGCAGGTGCAGAAGGGTGTGGAGCGAACGAAAAGACTCGAGTTTAGTGAACGAACGGACTCGAGTTTCGGTCGGAGATATGGATGGGTTATTGGTTGCCGGCGATAGAATTGGAACGACGGGGGGGCACCGAACGGAATATGGGTCGTTGGTGTTGCGACGCCGAGGAAAGGATGAAGTACGGTTGCAGTGTGAGGACGGGTTGCAGTGACATGGGCTCGAGAATTGGGTTAGGGATATGGGCTTGACCGGGTCTATGGATTACGAATTAGTGGGTTACGTGGGTTTGGGCTGAGTTTAGACTGAAAATTATGTTGGGCTGGAATATATGTTGGGCTAGAATATATGGAATTGAAAAAAAAAAAAGAAAAAAAAGTATATATATATATAAGCTAGAGTTTGAAACAGCAACTTTAATGCAAAAGGAAGCAGCAAATCAATCAAATTGAACAGCAGAAATTTTTTTTAAAAAAAAAAATATAAGCTAGGGTTTGAAACAGCAACTTTAATGCAAAAGGAAGCAGCAAATCAATCAAATTGAACAGCAGAATTTTTTATTTTATTTTTAATACTACAGAATGAAAATAAAAAATTTGGAATCCAGGTGTGAACAGTACCCGTGAACAGTAACACGATTTTTTATTTTTTTTTCAACTAACCCTGAAAATTGAAGAATAAAATTGCTGCCTTTACCAAAATCCTTTTAATTTGTGCTATCCCAACAAAATTTGGGAGAAAAGAAGAGATTTTGGATTGTAAAAGAAAGTACTCAAGATTCGGCTCTGATACCAAATTTGATGCAGCACCAATGGGATAATTAATAAAAACAGAAGAAGATTCAGAAAGAATGGGGGATTAAGGGAAGGGAAAAAAGAAGAATTCAATAGGAGAGGAAGAAAGATGCGCCATAAGCCACCAAATAATTATTGTTCATTCATCAACTGAAAATTATAATGTAAAATAGGTTTAAATAGCTAAGCAACCCTAACAATTTTGGGTCCGAGCCCATACAAGTCCAGATCCTAAATAATAGTCCAAAAGATAAATAAAGCATAACTAAACTAAGTAACGTCCGATGTCCTCATCATAGACAAGTTTGGTCGGACCCAGTACAGTAACAGCCCAGTCCACTTAATGATTACAGGTTGATCCCAGGCTTATTAGTCAGATGTTAGGTTCGAGTTTTTCGTAAAGGTTTGGTCTGAGCAGGTTCATGGCCTCACAGGAAAGTAAAGAAAGGATAAGTTAGACAAGTTTGGTTGGACCCAGTACAATAACAGCCTAGTCCACTTAATGATTACAGGTTGATCCCAGGCTTATTAGTCAGATGTCAAGTTCGAGTTTTTCGTAAAGGTTTGGTTTGAGCATTACAGGTTGATCCCAGGCTTATTAGTCAGATGTCAGGTTCGAGTTTTTCGTAAAGGTTTGGTCTGAGCATGTTCATGGCCTCACAGGGAAGTAAAGAAAGGGCAAGTTAGACAAGTTTGGTCGGACCCAGTAAAGTAACAGCCCAGTCCACTTAATGATTGCAGGTTGATCCCAGGCTTATTAGTCAGATGTCAGGTTCGAGTTTTTCCTAAAGGTTTGGTCTGAGCAGGTTCATGGCCTCACAAGACTTGGATCTACAAGACAAGCTAGGACTAGGGAATAATGACCCCCTACATCCAGGCTGATCCAGAAAAAGCAGCTATCCACTAGGCTTAATTGACATCCAAGTAGTGGGTGTTTGATCAATACTACCCTGACTAGAAACTCATTAAGTTCAGAAGAGGGGAGAGAGAATTAAGGCTTACCAACAAAGCACAACGACTGGGGAGGCAGATCAAGATCACGAATGGAACAGTAGAACAGAGAGCAATTGGCCTGACTGTGGAGAGAAGCCTAATGGGGAATGTGTACTCAGAAATAATATCCGAGGCACACATTAGCTAACCTTATCCCCATAATGCGTACAAATTTTATCAAACACATTTAAACCTGTATCATAAATGCCGTATTATACGAGATAATAAATCTAGCTGACCATAATTTTTCCTTGTGTTGGTTTTAATGTAATAATTTATATATGTCTCGGCAATTAATATTTAAATGTACTAGCATAATGATATTCCTTGCATTGAGAAAAAAGATTACTTTCAATTTATTGAGAAAATAACTGAAAGGAAGATGCTTCAATGAAAAGAATCAACTTTACATTGTTTGAGGTACATGACACTCATCTTTCAATAAATTGCAAAAAATAAAGTTAAACTGCCATTCAAGAAAGAATGTATATGCATTGTGCGTTTTTCTTTTTATTGTTTTGATGGATTTAAACTAAAGAGTAGTTTTAAAAATTACATAGAGGAATTGATTACGTGAAAGCAAAGAGACATTTCTAGTGTAACTAGCAAAACATCCCAATCTAACAAACCAGAGAATGATGAATTGAAAACTCCCCCCCAGAACAAAGCCAGCAACTCACTACTAAAAAGTTCAAATATTGAAAACCTAATGCACCAAGAAGATCTTTTAGATTGAAAATGAGGGGAAATTTCATATATAAAAGATATATGAAACTTCCTGAAACCACAAATTAAATGAATGGCTCAAATTCTTTGCTTTTAGAAAACCAAAAATGAACAGAAAGGGCACCAGAACCATAAGAACAACAGGCAGCAGAAAGAGTGCAAAAGTTTAGACCAGCACATAAGTCAAAATAGTTAAACAACACATAACAAAGTAACAATTTATCAGACGATAGCTGAAAATTACCACAATGAAAAGAAGACAATTCAATTCCAAAAGTACTGAAAGGCAAAATCTATGTAATAACTGTATATGGAAGGAAAAACAAGAAACAGGGTGCAACAGCCACCCGGTATGGAAAAAAATAGTACATGCATATAACTAATTAGCTTCCAAGCCAGAATGACCAAAACAAAGAAAATGTTAGAGAACACTCAGCAAAATAACTCAATATCAGAATTCAAGTTACCCTCTTCCAAAAGATTGGGAAAAAAAATTTAACCTATCTCAAAAAGGAAGCTAATAAAATCCATATTTCAGAAAGGCAAATGATGATCAACTTGTTTTCTCCTCAAATTAATATAATGTCACTAGTATTGTACATCAATTAATGTAAATAGATTCAAGTCGGGGATTTACTCCCTCGGGCCAGACCGGTCTGGATCTTCTGGATCTCTCATATTTTATCTAGTGAATAATCAACTACATGATAGAACACCAAGCGAACCAATGTGTCATGCCATCATCAATAAGAAAAGACCACAGTAATTTTCCAGTTCTTCAGCACCTCATATTTGTCAAGTTCTTCCCACCAACAATCACAATTTGTTCATCTCTTTTGATTTCCTCAACATTGAGAGGGATAAGACAAAGAAGCTTCAAACACGTGCATCTTAAAGCAACACACAGCTCAAAACCTCAAGTGAACCCGATTATCTAAGAAAATGATGCAAATTTCAATGTAGAAAGATGAGATCCTCCCGTGGCTTCTCCTCTTATTGTTCTGAATACAAATAAATATCAGTTTATTAATTGATACAACTTGTAAACATCCAAGTGATATGAGTTGCAAGTGAGTTTCCCCAATTTAAATGTAAAGTTTCGTCACATATAAGCAACTCAAAGAAATTGCAAAAACAAATATAAAGTGTTAGTACCTGAAATCGCATGAGTACAAATTGACTTGTCATTTCACGACAATATTGCATAAATGCAAATTTAACAAACTGCCTATTCTGTGATAGAATTTCCTGTTCTTCTTGGTAATTAACGGTTTAAAACTAAGTCATGCAGGTTAAATGACACATCTATCTATATTCTGGAGCTCTCATATGAATCGACATGGAATTTTATGTGAGATATGAAAAAGTGAATGTTATGTGCAATACTGTAACTTAATTATTTCTGCCTTAAACTACAGCTAAGAATCCTATGTCAGTTTCTTGGTACATTAATAGTATTAGAAACTAGATAATAAATTAGAAAAGACAGTATTATTTATGCACATCTCAAAGGAACTAGGAGCATTAAATTGTAGAAAATAATTAATTTTACTTCAAGTATAACCATGAGAGCTAAATGCAGAAATATTTTTTGCTTGGAAGTTAATCGCTAGATATTTTCTCCCTTGAAGATCCATTAGAACACAATGGGTTCCCATTCCCAGTTTATTTAATTGTTCAAATTTTATAGTTCACAAGTCCACCTGGCCAAAATTATAGTTTGTAGGCTTAACTACTTTAGGACAAAAATTTAGCACATGCAAGTTAGAAAGCTCTCCAATCATTCAACTATCAAAAAGCCATGACAAATTGCAATTCTCAGCACATAAACTAAAAAAGACAATGACCAGTGGAATACTTGTGCACTGTTAAAGTGCCATACGAAGCATTTTAATATTAGAAGAGGAAGTAGAAGTTCAAGAGCATGGGCATGAATAAGAAATACAATTGACAGCATAATAAGCATGAAAAGGGAAATGTTAAGAGAGGTACACTCTAAACATGACAAAAGAGGATAATCTACTCTATGGAAAAAACAGATAAAAGATCATCTTTTTCTAATTACAGCAGTCACGCTGAAAGCATATTTAACATGCAATAAGCATACTGGGGTCCTTGGTTCCATGGAACAAAATGAGCATAAATATAACGACACCACAAAATAATATATGAGACCTTGATCTCTAGCACGCCTTTTCTCTTCTAGTTGTCTAATAAACTGGCTCTAAAGATGCATCCAGAGATGGAAAAGAGAATGTCTTAACACATTTGGTTCTCTTACAAGTGCATTTATAGAAGTGCAATGAAAAAACATCAAATCTGGAGGGACATTCATTATAACCTGATTACCCGAAACAAAAATGAACAAGTTAAATAACAAAATAAGAACAATAAGTGCAGATACACTTAAATGCTATCGCTTGATAATTTCCTTTAATACTTCTCAGTCTTCTGTTTAGAGAAATAATACTACAGAAGAAACCTTTTAATTTATGTACCTACTTGCTTTTGATTTCGGAAAAAAACTTTCCTTTAACCAACTGTGAATCCCTTCAACAAAAAAATATGTATCGCTATGTTATATTTAAATGTGATTGCACGAAGAAAGTGGTATTATTTAGTCATAAAAAAGCCTCTTTCTAGAGGCCCTGTTGATCAGTCCATAAAGTTTGTCCAATTCTCTATCAATGCATTCTTTACCAAGAAACAACACTTTCAAAAAAATTATAATCATCTTCATTGTAGAACACAAGAACCAAACCCCACCAAGCAATGTATCATTTTCGGTACCAACTCAGTGCTGCATGAAACTCAGGAAAAAAATAATCAAAATCCACGATGTAAATGAAGAAGTTTCAGTGAGAATAGGTGAAATACTCCATTGAAAGCTATCTAAAGCTTGTTCCCCTTGGGCATCTTAATTTTTTGCAAACATATAAGCATAAAAATTCAATTACTCATTCAATAGCAATAAGTAACTTAAAATTATTTAACTGTAATTAATAAAAATTGGATGAATGAGCTCGGAGACAACCAAAAAAAATATAATTATATGATAGCAAAAAAGGAATATCTACCGTGAACACCTCAAGCTAATGTTATATACCCGATGGTAAGAATCCTGAAATAAGAATTAATGACTCCAGGGTAAACTACTCTAGAAGAAAAGAAAAACATTCTAGTGTCAAGGCTACATTTCATGGCAGGAAGATATTAGGTACCCCTCCAACTAAGGAAATCCAAGGTCTTACAGATGCAATTAGGCTTTAATCATATCTGTTCCTCGAAGGCCTCAAGATCACCTTAACCAACATAAATCAAGGGTTCATACTTAAAATAGAATTAACATTACTAGGAAAGTAAGTCTCATAGTTCCCGTAATCAGCATAATTAAACTAAAGAGTCCCATACGAGACCTTAAGTTTATAAAGAATCACCTAGCAAGATAAGAGAAATTAAATGCCTATATAAGGGTAGTTTTCTAAAATGAAAATTCTAAAAGGGTAAATTAACCTAAAGTTGTGGTTTCCTTATTGGAAAAAGGAGAACCACCAAAGATTAGACTACATATCTTAAGGGGAGGTTAGTTTGTGAAGAATGCCTAACTTTTCCAATGCTTTGGATAAGACTCGATAAGGTTTCTAAAATTGAAGAGGTTTTCTACAACACCACCAATAAGTAGCACTTCTAAGGCTTCCTATAGTTCATGGGGATTCATGGTCTACCTATATGCCAACAAAATTAAGTTTTTACTCATCCACACATTGAATAGGAAACGGTTCTTAAGGTTGTGCACCAACAAGCTATCATTACCTAAACTTGAAACTAGACCGAATAATATGACTACAACCTAAATAAGTGAAGTTCGCATTTCGTTCCGTACAACAAGTGCACTGGATTAAGATTGTGAAAACCCAAAAATGGTGCCAATAATGCAATATATAATATAACATTTATGTAACATGCAATAGGAAGAAGATCAAATAAGAAACAGAGAAAATGGAGACAAGGGTTGAGAAGCGCAGCACTTCATGTAGTAGGAAACCTTATTAGAAATTACAGTCAGTCTTTAAGAATCTTGGCACCTGTATGAATAATCATTAATCTTTTATGTAAACAAATCAAGCCTGTGTTCGCGTTGAATTCCTGAGGGAAATTTAATAATGTATCCAGTGTTTAATCATGCATATCGCTTGAGACTAATTTAGGAACCAGAATAAGCCATTTCACTCAATTGCATATCCGAATTCAAAAATAGCACAAATCATTAAAGATGTGTTAAAAAAAGGTATCTCTCTCCATTAAGATACTTTTTGCACTCACTTGCATCCAATTGCATTTTTTATTGCCTCTTAAATAATAGAGAACTTTCTTACACGGAAAGACTATTTCATTCAATGCATGTGTACTAACAAGCAGGAGAAGCTTTACTAATGCTGATAAACTGAAACATGATAGATAAATTATAGAAGCAACAAAAACAATATCAAGATACACCAATTCAAATCCAAATTATAAGAAGGTAGTTTCTTAATGTTCAGCAGCTAACATTATTATTCTGGTGAAATTTTTCATTTACTGCCACCACTTGATTCCACCTTTACCTCCACCTTTGCCGCATCAACAGGAACAGTGTCCATCATGACCTTTGGAACAGAGAAACTGAAATCTGAGGTGGACAAATCCTTAAACTCCGGATTTTCTTTCAGAAATGATGCAACTTCAGTACCTGCCCTCAATTTCCTACCATTGGGAGCAATATAGTAACAATCAAGTTTTGAAAAATCTTTCCTCAGCACCAATCCTCTATGGAATCCCGGAGGAGTTTTGGGCAGATTTGGCTTGTCAACAACCCATACACGTGAATTATCATACTCCATATCAGTAGGATCATTGCAAGAGACATTAATTTTTTTAGTGCAGACAAACGGATCTTCAACAAATTTTTTTCTGATTTCCTCATACTCTTCTTGGGTTGGAATTATCCTCCACTTGAAACAATCCCGACATTGCACACTCCATACGTTAATAGAGTTGCGAGGCGCAGCGGTGCGAGGCACCCCTGAACGCTGAAACAAGAATGATATAATTATTTAAGAAAAAATTCAGTAAATATAAATGATCATACTGATTTTATCTATTTTTTTCTTTCATTTTTTTTGGGGGGGTGGGGGGCTGGATTCATAAATCTAGCAGCTGCATAAAAGGGGGTTTGGGAAAAAAAATACTATCTACTATTAGAAACAGCTCACCAAGAGAATAAGAAATCGAAACAAATTACCGCATTAAAAATCTCTTCTGAAATCAGTTAGTGCTAAATAACAAAAAATGAGGAATTACATGTAGATTTTCTGAGACACGTTCAAATCAGTTAGTATCGAATAAATCTCTTTTTGCACTCAACTTGTCCTAGGGTTTAGAAACAAGACTCATAATGTATGTGTCTGTGTCAGTGTATAAACTAAAATTAAGGAAAATCCTTGGACTAGGGTTTAAAACCCAAAAACAAACGAAGGGAAAAAAAAAAAAAGATTCTGACACGAAATCCTCCAACGAAACATCAATTACAGTCAGATCAAGAAAAAACACAAAATTCAAACGGCGAATTTCTTTAACGGTGTAATTCATACGATCATATATAAAACTTACACCCGGTTGGTGGGTATGAAATCAAGGAGAATACCTTCATCGGTGTTTTCTCGGCCTTGATCTTCATATTCGAATGGTCCGTATTTTCTATCCTCTCCGTCGGTGTAATTACTAATTTCTTCTTATCACTCCCTGAAGGCGCACGTGGCTATTGCAACCCTATTTCCATGGTTTAGGGATGTCAACTTTCTATAAATTACTAAAAAGTATCCCTATTTCGAGCTGTGTTCACTTTGGGCCTTACAAATTGATTGACAAATGATGGCAGGATTAGGCCTGGGAAAAAAAAGGAGTAAACCGTCTAAACCAATCAAATCAAACCAGTTCGTGTCGATTTGGGTCGGTTTGATTGAATCTATTGGTTTTGTTTGATTTTTTTTAAACACCATATTGGGTAGGTTTTGTTCATGTTTGGTTAATGGTTCGAAGCCTCAAACCGGTGGTGAACCTAACTGACCCAAACAACTAACATGTTATAATTTTTTTTCTTTTATGAAAATCACAAATTCAATTCACAATTGACAACCCTAATCTCATACGCAATTGCTTGCTCAAATCTCTTGATTCTCTTTCGGTCTCTACAATTTATGTACCAATTATATTTGAGTGAGAAATTAGAGTTGAGAAAGAACCTTACTACTCAACGTCAAAGAATTTCACTTACTATAGACACTTGAACATACATTCAAAATATAAATTATATGTCTCTTACAACCAATTACATTGACTCTAACTAGATGCTTAAGAAAGGAATTTTGAACTTTTGTGTGATATCTAATCAAGAGGGTGAAAACCATTGGCGAGGTTATAGAAAGTTGCTTGCAGCAATAGGGCCTTGATAAGGTGTTTACAATCACATTGGACAACACTAGTGTAAATAAAACGGCCATTTCAAAACTTAGAAGAAAGATGATCAGTTGGGGTAATGATGGGTGTGTTTCAGATGGCAGATACTTGCACATGAGATGTTGTACACATATCGTTAATTTGATAGTGTGTGAGGATTGAAGGAAGCACATGATTCAATAGTTAGTATTCATAATGCAATGAAGTATGTGAAATCCTTACCTACTAGATATGAAAAATTTTAAGAGTATGCAATTAAAGAAAAGGTTGAGAGCCTATTTGGAAAGGACTAAAGTATGATTTTAATTTAAGTTAAAGTCAAAAAAATCAATATTAACCACATTTTTCATGAGTTCCACAACTTTTCAACTACACATTTCAAAAATTTCTATCACAATTTACTAAAAAATCTAATTTTAATCGCCACCAAACACCATCTAAATCAAAATCACTTGTGTATCTAGATATGTCTACAAGGTAGAAATCCACCTATTTAATATTTGAGGTCGTTTGGAAGTACCAAGAAGCTTTTGAGCGCTTAGAAGAGGAGGATTGACATTACTATAGTTATTTTTGAGAGGATGATGGTGGTAGAAAAGGAGGTGGACCTCCTTTAGTAATTGATTAGGAAAATGCATCTATTTTTGTCAAATTTCTTAAAAGGCTTTTATGAAATATCACTTTAAAGTTGAGTACTTCATTACATGTTAACACCATAGTTTATCTTTATGAAGTATGTTCACTTGTAGCAAATTTGGTAGCTTGGAGTTTAAGTGAAAATTATCCTCTAGGTGAAATGGCTACTAATATGAATAGGAAATTTGTTTAAGTATTGGGAAAATATGGACAATATCAATCAAAAGTTGTTGATTGCTACCGTGTTTGATCCAAGATATAAATTGAATTATTTCAGAATACTTTTTATGATATCTATAAAGATAAAAAGATTGGCTAATACGATGACCCAAACATTGAAGGAAATTTTGTTTTCTATTTATGATTGATATGTGATGTATGAGGGAAGTCCAGAAGGCAATCTAGTATCGATGGATACATTTGCAAGTGTGTTATCTTCTACAAGTCAAATCAATTCTTGCTCATACTACCAAGTTTAAGGAACGGCAATCAGTGAAAGATTTAGTTGAGATAAAAAATGACATAAAAATATTTTTATTGGATGCTTGTGAAAATATAGAGAAGGAATTTCATGGCCTTGATTAGTGGAGGACACATGGAAGTAAGTATAGAACATTGTCCAAACTAGCAAAAGATGCGTTGGCAATTCAAGTGTCTCTACGGTGGTTTCAGAAAGTGCTTTTAGTACGAGAGAAAGAATTCTAGACCCATTTAGTAGTTCTTTAACTGCTAGGATGGTCGAGGTTTTAGTTTCCACTCAAAATTGGCTCAAATCTACTCTAAGCGAAGGCAAGTTTTACATGGAGGATGTGGAGTATTATAATAAACTGGATGAAGGTAATTAACTATTTCATTAAATGTGTTTACATGTGTTTCAATTTCATTTACTATTAATTTAAACATTTTATTTTAGAGCTTTCGGAATCAATGAAAACGGATGAAGATTCCAACATCAAAGATAACTAATTCATTTGATGTGTTTGCGTAAGGTAATTTTATTATTTTCGTCTCATTTGATCGTAGCTTTACAATGAAATATGATCCAAGTTACCACGTATTGTAAATGAAGGTGATTCAAAGTGATGGCCTGTTGAACGACTTTTGGAATTTGAATTTTACTTTCCTAAACATTTTATTTTCCTAGAGTCTAGACATTAGATGTTATAAAAATTTATTTTTTGTGCTCGAGTTTCTTTCTTGTAACATAAAATTTAGTTTCTTAGTCTTAGTCTTATGCTTTGTTCTGGTTATTTTCTTAGTCTTGGTTTTGGATTGTGCTTAGTTCTGGTTATTTTCATTTTGATCGTATCCTTCCTTCTATTGAGATGGAAGAAATAAATAATTGACATGTTTAGCAGCTCATATTTAATTAAGTGTAGTAAACGTAATTTGGCATTTCTTTCATTCTTATGGATATCTACATATCCATGTTGATAAAGATGAACTATATAGGGATGGAAAAAAGCTTGATGAAGATTCGATTTGGTTATGGTTATGTGCTAGTTCTTGGCTGTGTCAGTGTGAGTGGTCAAATTAAATGACATATATTATTTTTTGCATGACTTTCCATTTTTACGATGCAATATGATTTAAAAGTCTAATCCGACTAATCAAACCGATTTGGTTCGATTTAAGAGGTAGAATGAGTTGGTTTATACTGAAATTTTTCCCAACCAACTAATTTGGTTTCGGTTTCAAATTGGGGTCAAAACAACCTAAAGCAAACTACGTCTAGGCCTAGGCACAATTACAATTTACATACGTTGAAATTTGAAACCCTATAAATAAACATCAACACTATTGAGTAGAATACATGTGTTATTGGCCGTCAACATCCTACGATTAAAGATCATGTGCCCACTTATACATATTATTGTATAAATATATTTTATACTGAAATCTTTATTACAAGATTTCTCCCTTACATGTAAAACAAACGTAGGTGTCCCCATTACTTGTGTCAAAATGTACGGGCCAATTTGAACCGGCCCACTCAAGTCATGACGGGGCACAAATTGAACCAATTATTGGATTAGCCTTTCTTTCAATAGATTCTGATGCTTCAGCTTATTCGAACTTTAGATTTGAAAATTAAGGTCGTGACTCAGAACTCTCCGTTGATACGACATGCTATTTTTTCCATTCATTCCCTTTCAGGATCAGTCGCGGTCTTCCAAACTTTACCGATGGTATGGACGAATTCATCGCTTCATCCAAATGTGTAAAAGATTCTAGCCGCACTTAAAAGCCGAGTACTCTACCGTTGAGTTAGCAACCCGAAGAAAATATAAAAAATTTAAACATAATTTAAATATTCAAATTAAAGGGTGTGAAGATACAATCTAAATCCATTATCAATTAAATAATGAGAAAAGAAATTAGACGAGGTAATCAAACAATTGAGCTAAGAAATCTAAAAAAAAAAAAAACAGATTTTCTAATCGCTCGCCCATGAAATATCACGACACAAGAGAAGGGAAAGTGCAATAGCAACCGTTAAGCTTTACTACCGTGCCACTAGCAAGTCGGGTCATAGTCGGCCCACTATAAAATATATTGGCCCAAGGGATCGCTGCAACCCAAAAAATCGATGGGTGGTCCTCGGATCGGACCAGACCACCTTTAAAAGAGTGGTCATTTGGCCACTTCTCTAATAATAAAGTTGTCATAGTATTTTTCGAAAATAAATTGATTCGAGTTTCTTTTATAAAACTAAGCCTTGTTTGGTGGCCATATTTTCAAGAAAACATTGTTTTGAATAGTAATTTTATTTAAGAATGCACAGTTAAAAAGTAAGGAAAGTATTGGTTTTATATGCAAAATAATTTATTGTGTCAATGTGTGGTTGAAAATGAGTATATAAAAAAAATGGTTTTAAAAGAATGGAAAACAAAGAAAGGCCAAGTAATTAACTTTAAATTTACGCTAATTATCTTATAGAATTGTTCTACCGAACCTCAAATCGTTTTCGAGAATACTTTGTTCAACTTGCATCAAGTATATAGCTCGCCTTCCTAACCTAAAGAGCCAAAAGTCTGATTTTGACTATGGTTGAGTCCTGCAGACGTACTACTCTCAATCAAAACATTTTCTCGTTGTCTTTTCTTATTCAATTGAGAGTTCTAGGTTATTGTGTATTTTGGAGGTAATAAAATTATATTTTCAACAATCATCTTATATAATTATCATTAACAGACTTAAAAAATTACACGGATTTCTAACTTTGAAAAAAAAAAATCAACAATTCTTTACAACTAAGTGACTTCAGTTTAAGTATATCCCAATTAAGTTGGCATATACTTAATGTTAATTACGCGTAACATTATCGAACTTTGTGCCAAATTTCCACCAGGTCACGAAATTTTAAAAATTACCCCGTTAATTACTGAATTTTGTAATTCGTTATCCCATCCATTATTAAACGAATGGTTAAAAATTTGACGAATTTGTTGAGAATTGCATATGTGGCAATCTATTCCAAGTGGTGAGCTTCAGTTTTTAAATTACCATTGAAGTGGACGCCAAGTGGAAAATCGTTTATTTATACAGGTTTCATACATTTGAAGGGAATTAATTTTATTTATAAAATTTTCATACATATAGAACAATACCAAACTCAAAATTCAATAAAATCTGTACCCTTAAATAACCAAATTTATGCTGCAATAAGCATATCATAAAACAAAAATAACTAAAGTCAATT